TCATTTGTCTAACTAGGAAAGGGCCCTGGACTGGCTCAGACAATCGTCACTGGCATTGGCCGTGAGCGGGAATGAAACTCGGGGGGCCGGGTAAGTACAGCAACGTGCTCGCCTGCTGCGCCGCTGTTCCCACAAACACACACGCAGGTAGAGACACACGTTACGAGTTTAAGCCGACATCCATGACGGAGTGGTGTCTATGCTAATCACTGGCCACCATCTTCACGAAACACGCACGGACCAGTGCGGTGAAGTATGGTCAAACAAACCCCATGACCGAACGACACAGCGTGGGGGAACACCTTCATGCAGCAGTGGATTTATAAGCGGCAGTACATCACGATATAAAACCACATCCCAGTCAATACCACGGATGCCTACGTACAAACCGCACATACGCCACATTCACAGACACCCGACATACAAACATCCCAAAAGACACTTCTTGTAAAGTGCCATCAGCACCGGAAAGACGAGGGCGGCCAAGGTTGTAGTTGGCCGCACCATTCCTTCGTGAGCCTTAAATAGGTGCTCGCTAACAGCACTTGCCCAAACCGCCTCATAGATAATAACAGAAACACAAAATGCACGCTCTTCATCCCCACAATCTACATTCCCATCTCAGTGCCCCCTCTAGAAGTCAAAAAATAATTCCCTCTTTCTCTGTGTTTTTTTTTTAAATATGCCGATTCACTTGGCTATCTGTAGAGAGATAGGGCGCACGGAATGCGGGGTTTAAGGAGTTTGCACACCGAGCCGAGAGCTGCGTACGTGACCGTCCCACCACGAACACCACGCACACCGCAACGCTTGAGAAAATTCACGGCTGGTGGATGACTGAGATCGCCTTGCTGCAGCGGCGACGTCCGTGCTCCAACAAACAAACCGTGGTCAATCCGCTGCTAGATGAAGCCGCCACCCCCCTCCCCCAACAAAAAAAATTGCCGCCACCACTCACGATCCTGCGATGTGATAAGCACATCTAGCACGTGCACACGAACCGATTTAACCGCTCCATCTCCTCCTTTGGACATGTTCTCGGACGCATTCCATTGGCCCTTTCCCATTCGGAATCGGAAGAAAATCAGAATTGGAAGAAAAACTAAAATGAAATAACCTCATAGGTACGTCTTGAGGTCGGAAGATGTTCCGAGGCTCCCACAATGCTCCCACAAGGCCATGCGGGAGGAGCGTGGTACAGTCTGTTGTAGAGTGCGGTCGTGACGCTACGTTTCTCTGCATCGAGTACAATGGCTTTAAAAACTGCGGCGCTCACCGCTTGCGCGCTTCCGATATCGAGCAGTGAACGGGACCCCGCCCTGCAACTCACAGACGTCTCGGAACGAGGGAAGGGTTAAGTGGCTGCCGCCGTTATTATCGTCGACCAACGAACTCGTAGATGGCTCGGACACCATCATAGCCGCAGGGTTTGCTGGCGAGGTACAAACGCAGCCAATGAGATCTTCCTCGCACACGGAATATAATTGTCAATGTTTCAAAATTATTCGAGAACGAAAAAAAGTGCTCTCCTGCTGATATGCACACGCGACATTATCATCCGTTTACAACCGGCGGTGGAAATTCCACGTTCTTACGGTAGAGGTGCGAGTCGCAGCAAAGGACAGCCACGAATGGCTTCTCACAACAGTGGTACGTATTTTATTGACCGCAGAGAGATGACGGGCCACGTCGACCTCCACAACTGGGATATCAAACCCGCCACCTTCCGACCGCGAGCCACACGCTCCGACCAGTGCGTCTCAACATCATCGGCACCAACATTACTGCAAACACCAACAACCGCCAGCTCGCTAGACGGCCAAAACATCAGTTTATCCCAACAAACTTCGCATTTATTTTCGTTCGTCAGCATGTCCATTAACACGAAGCACTCCCACTCCCCAAAGAATTTCAGTTACCCCCATTTACCCCACTGCCACCCCCACCCGCCCCCACCCCCCCGCCCCCACTCTTCCAAAGCTTCCTCAGAACAAAACCACCTCCATTCTACTCCCCCTCCTTCCTCCCTGTCGCCCCCCCCCCCCTCTCTCTCTGCCCCACATGTAGAAACATTAGAACTTCCTGTCCATTGGGCCAGGATGGCTTCCAGCTGCACTATTTATCTGCCAATTGCTCCCAGCTGCCTGTGAGCTCCTTAAGGCTGATTGCTGCTCGCATGTCAACCTGTGGTGGTGCTGGTGGTGGGAGGCCCGGGGAGGTGTCTCTCCGTTCCATGGACCTCCGCTAGTCTGGGATTCTGTCGTCAACATCTGGGGTCGACAGCCCCCCGGCCGGAGTCCCTACCCGACTTTTGCTTCTGATAGAATTCAAAAAGGAATCAAACAAATTCTGTCGATTCCGTACGCAAGCAGCTTGGGGCGATAAACGCGTTCGCCGGAGAAGAAAATGCCCGCGATGATTGCCCTAAATTGCTCTGGTGTGTCGTGGGCTTTGATGCCGGTCCGCCTTCAATAACTGCCCCGAAGTGTGCGTTACGCTGACGTGCGGTTCTCCAATGTGTGTTTGGTTGTACCGCATGTTGTGCGGGACGATGTTGGATGAAAGTCTCCCCGTCCACCACCACCGCCGCCAACGCCACGTCGGACACAGACGTTGTCCCATGTCAATACTTCTCACCACGCCGGTCGGTGACGTGGGTCGGAGAAGGGGAGGCCCAGGACCGGTTCGGATATCGCTCTCACTTACGACGACGGATGTGCAGGGGGATGGAACTCGGATTGTTGGGTTCATAGCTCGCTCAGTGTGCTAAGGACCCCCAATTTCAATAACAGGGAAATAATAAATACGTTTAAATTCACAGATGAAACAACAATTATTTTGTGAGATTGCTGCAATAGCAACTGGTGCCCAATCACAACGAACAATAACTCCACAGATTAATCAACAAGGCTGCCCCTAAAGAGGATACAACATGTGATTAGGTGACTTTTGGGGGCAATGGAAAACACAAGACTGGCGATTCGCAACGACCAGTCTGTCAGTGCCTTTAAGCATTCTCCCAAATCCTAACCGCGAAACATGAATGCCACTCTGTCCGCTGTGACAGAGACGATGGCCAATGATTAACCGACAGGACGCAATGGAAGATTACCACCTTAGCCATCAGCAAAGTGCTTGACCACCTATCTCTGCTGAATGGGAGCACTGAGGCCTGGGTTCCCTTTTGTTGGTAAAAACGGAAGTTGCATTGCGTGGGTTTTCTCCGGGAATTCCCGTGTCCTCCCACACAGAAACTCGTCTCGGGCAGGAGGTGCCGTCCAAACATCCCAAAGAAGAAGCCAGAAAATGAAACCCCCAGAGTTTGGATGGAGTGCTTTTGCCGCTAACAATCTGGCAATGCAACAGCACTTGTTTGACAAGCCTGACTCCGCTTATGAGACCCAGAAAGAAAATGTGAAAATGTATAAAAGGTGATATTTTGTACAATTTACTCTTCTGCAAAGCACATAAATGGAAAGGTCAAAAAGACGGTGGATAAACTGAAACTACGAAACAATTAAACTTTCTAAAAATATTTTACCAGGTAAGGCTCACTGAGCTTTCTAGCTCTTTTTCAGACGAGACCGGGCCACAAATGACAGCTCAACGAAGTGGCTCATCATGTGGAAGTTTATAGCAGCCAAATACTCTGAACGCGTGTTGATTCTAAAGGTGGAGGGAAAAACCGGAGGACCCGGAGAAAAGTCCAGGGGACCACGGGAAGAACATGCAAATTTCGATTATACAGGCGTCGTGAGGGTCGGGGTCGAACACACAACCTCCTGTATACCAGGCGAGGTAGTTAACATCTCCTAGCCACCGCGCCACCCCATAATGACAGTTGGAGACTGCACTTTGGGCCTGATGAAAATCACATTTCAATTTTTTTTTATTTCTGATGACCAGTTTTTAAATAAGCATATGAATAGTGACCTGATAGTAGTTAAATAATAAAATGCATTGCTACTAAATAAACTCATTAAAGTGTTTTTTCTGTGAACGTGGAGACACAGGACGGAGTTCTGCCCATGCATTTATTTAGCTACATTAAAATTTAAACTCTTGCGATGAACACAACCTCATGACACATACACAAACACACATATATATATACAGAGGTGTGGACTCGAGTCATGTGACTTGGACTCGAGTCAGACTCGAGTCATGAATTTGATGACTTCAGACTCGACTTGGACTTGCATAACAATGACTTTGTCCCACCTCTGAGGTGTGGACTCGAGTCATGTGACTTGGACTCGAGTCAGACTCGAGTCATGAATTTGATGACTTCAGACTCGACTTGGACTTGCATAACAATGACTTTGTCCCACCTCTGAGGTGTGGACTCGAGTCATGTGACTTGGACTCGAGTCAGACTCGAGTCATGAATTTGATGACTTCAGACTCGACTTGGACTTGCATAACAATGACTTTGTCCCACCTCTGTATATATATAACAGGCTAATGTTCTGGCCTGAAGTCTTCCTATCCCGACGAAAAGCCGCTGCCCGAAACGTCCGCCCCAGTCTACAGTTGCATTGTATACACACGGCACGGCTCGACTGTCAGCACGCCCCTGAACGACGGCTTCCCTAACACCGCGTGGGCCACGGGGGTGACCTGACAACGCGGCCACCACGTGGGCATGCGGGCACGGCGGAAGCGGTAGCCCAGCGGTTATCGCGCTGCGCTACGAACCCGGTGACCCGTGGAGTTTGATTCGCCACTCGCTGCCAACACCGGTGACGAATATTTGAACCGGCGCTGGGCCTCCCCTAGGCCGACTCAGCCTCGCACGAACGCGTGCCTTGGTGCGGCGCGTAAAACACCGGCGGTGGGGAGACAAAGTCGGCCCGTGCGTGTTTTTATGGCCGCACCGCTCATTCACGCGCCGTGGCTGGCCCTTCGCAAGGACGCCGTTCGCTGACGGCGCTCGCGGCCCACGACGGGCCTCTTAAAGGCCGCACGCGGGAGCATCTCGGTCGTCGTGTGGCGCTCACCGCTCGGGTTGGGCCTCCAGGTGAGCACGAGGGCGTCGGACGCGATGTCGACGAGCTTGCGCACGTCCACGGGCGCCACTCGCACGTCCACGGGGCGCCCGGGAGCCTCCCGGCACAGAGCCACGCGGCCGCCACCATCGCCACCGCACGTCCACGGCTCGCACGCTGCTCGCACCACCACGAAGACGAGGGTGAGGAGGGTGAGGAGGGGAGTGGGGAGGAGGGTGAAGGGGAGTGAGTGAGGATGAGGGTGAGGATGAGGGTGAGGAGGGTGAGGAGGGGAGTGAGTGAGGAGGGGAGTGGGGAGGAGGGTGAAGGGAGAGAGTGAGGAGGAGAGCGAGGATGAGGAGGAGGCTCCTCTAATAAGTGCCCCCCCCCCGCCTGTCCCACCCCCCAATACAGAGGTCCATTCAGAGCAGCAGTGCAGCGGCCTCCGAGAGGCGGCGAGTGTGGGGCGCTGCACAGCAGCACGTACCCTGTGTGCCGGTGTAGGCGACCGTTTCCTTCTCCGAAGGGAGGCTCCGGTTCACTCTGCGCCGACACCAAGCGCGGCACTCGACGGGCACCGGTCTCTGCAAAGACAAAGTGGACAGTGAGCATCGAGTGTTTAATCACTGCTGGGTGCATTCATATCAAGGCATTGTCAGGATAAACCTTACTGCACAGTGGTCAGTCGGCAGCGCTTGCTCGGGTTAACCTCGACCTCCTGTACACCTCGCCAGGTGTACAGGAGGTCGTGGTTTCGATCCCGACCCTGACGCCTGCTGCTGTATATTTGGGGTTTGCGTGTGTGTGTCTCTCTTTCATCATCATCACGGTGGCTAGGAGATGTTAACTACCTCGCCAGGTGTACAGGAGGTCGTGGTTTCGATCCCGACCCTGACGCCTGCTGCTGTATATTTGGAGTTTGCGTGTGTGTGTCTCTCTTTCATCATCATCACGGTGGCTAGGAGATGTTAACTACCTCTCCTGGTACACAGGAGGTCGTGGTTTCGATCCCGACCCTGACGCCTGCTGCTGTATATTTGGAGTTTGCGTGTGTGCGTCTCTCTTTCATCATCATCACGGTGGCTAGGAGATGTTAACTACCTCGCCTGGTACACAGGAGGTCGTGGTTTCGATCCCGACCCTGACGCCTGTTGCTGTATATTTGGAGTTTGCGTGTGTGTGTCTCTCTTTCATCATCATCACGGTGGCTAGGAGATGTTAACTACCTCGCCTGGTACACAGGAGGTCGTGGTTTCGATCCCGACCCTGACGCCTCCTGCTGTATATTTGGGGTTTGCGTGTGTGTGTCTCTCTTTCATCATCATCACGGTGGCTAGGAGATGTTAACTACCTCGCCTGGTACACAGGAGGTCGTGGTTTCGATCCCACCCTGACGCCTGCTGCTGTATATTTGGAGTTTCCGTGTGTGTGTCTCTCTTTCATCATCATCACGGTGGCTAGGAGATGTTAACTACCTCGCCTGGTACACAGGAGGTCGTGGTTTCGATCCCGACCCTGACGCCTGCTGCTGTATATTTGGAGTTTGCGTGTGTGCGTCTCTCTTTCATCATCATCACGGTGGCTAGGAGATGTTAACTACCTCGCCTGGTACACAGGAGGTCATGGTTTCGATCCCGACCCTGACGCCTCCTGCTGTATATTTGGGGTTTGCGTGTGTGTGTCTCTCTTTCATCATCATCACGGTGGCTAGGAGATGTTAACTACCTCGCCTGGTACACAGGAGGTCGTGGTTTCGATCCCGACCCTGACGCCTGCTGCTGTATATTTGGAGTTTGCGTGTGTGCGTCTCTCTTTCATCATCATCACGGTGGCTAGGAGATGTTAACTACCTCGCCTGGTACACAGGAGGTCATGGTTTCGATCCCGACCCTGACGCCTCCTGCTGTATATTTGGGGTTTGCGTGTGTGTGTCTCTCTTTCATCATCATCACGGTGGCTAGGAGATGTTAACTACCTCGCCTGGTACACAGGAGGTCGAGGTTTAGATCCCGACCCTGACGCCTGCTGCTGTATATTTGGAGTTTGCGTGTGTGTGTCTCTCTTTCATCATCATCACGGTGGCTAGGAGATGTTAACTACCTCGCCTGGTACACAGGAGGTCATGGGTTCGATCCAGACCCTGACGATGCCTGTACATTTGTAGTTTGCATGTTTTCCTCGTGGCCGCGTGGATTTTTCTCAGGGTCCTCCGGTTTCCCCCTCCACATTTAGAAACGTGTGTTTTAGAGTACTTGTCTGCTATGAATTCCACATGATAAGCCACTTCGTGCAGCTATCGTTTGTGGCCAGGTGGCTTCTGAAATCTGTATAGCTCAGTGGGCCTTACCTGGTAAAATAAAAGCTAAAATAGTTAATCATTTACAAATGCCTGTTACAGGCTACGCCTTACTGCACAGTGGTAGGTAAGGCTCTGACTGTTTGAACCTGCCACCCGAGCCAATGCCGTGTCCAGTAAACAGGACTCGAGACCTCTGTGGTTATCAATCTGGAATAATGACGGGCATGATTTTTTTGTCACGTGTTTTTAAAGGCTCTCGGTAAACGCACTAAGTTATGAACCCCATCACAGCTGAACTGGCCCCTGCACTAACCCCGCACTGACGAGTGAGGTGACGTACGGTCCAACTCCCCACCCCCCCCAAGACACGAAAAGCATGCATTCAGCGTTGGCGAAGGGCTGTAAAAAAAAAAACAAGGTCTTGTGACTTGTAGAAACTCCATGTTTAAATTACTGTTTTATTTAAATGCTGGCACCAAGCTTAATGGGCCCACTCAGTGGCCCATTGTGCCAAGACACCAGCTTACACAAGCTCTGCTGGCCGGCAGTGCAATGTTCAGAATTCACAAGCCCGGAGATTATGCGGGGATTTGTGCGCGTGCTACGTTTGCCTTGGTAGAGGACCCACAATTGCTCCCCTAAATGAGCCCAACAGTCTGGGCCACCGGGCTTTCTTGTACGCAGCTCAGTTGAAGTTAATTCTTCGCGTGAAAAAAACTATTTATTTAAACCCACCCGTACAAGAGGCCGAACTAATGAACGCTGGCAAGGACAAACAGCACCCGTTCATAATTCGATCGGCCCAAACTAAAAAATTAAGACATTTCTCAAACGCCAACGCACGTTGCGTAGAAACGGGCCTAACAACAACAACAACGCCGCAATGTTCCATTTACTTTTTTGCGCGTTCGTTCGTTTGCACCGCGATCAGCTCAGGCGCAGGTTGACATCGCTGAACTTCGAGAAGCGTCTGTTCAAGGGGGACCAACTTTATCCAGCCCCCCCCCACCCCCCTTCATTCAAATAAACGTGATATTGAGAATCCCCAACAAAGAGTTGGACATCCTCTCCTTGGCCGGTGAACATGACAAGCGCATGGTAAACACGCTCGTGGGCTCTTGGCGGCGAGCAAATAGCACAGGGAGCGCGTTGCTCCGTTCAGCTCTAGCTTCCCGACTGCCCGAGTCTGCCAGGCCAGCCAATACTGATTCATGACCCCCCTTCTGGTCCAGGAAACAAGACTCGAGACCCTTGTGGCTAGCAACCTATAATAATAATAACAGGCACGGCTTGTATTAGCAGCGCGTGCCTGTTGGGTGTATTTGCACGTTCGTGTGTGCGCACGCACGCGAGTATAAAATCACTGTGTGACAACAAAGCTTGCTTGGTCGAAACAGCACACGCGACTCATGGTAGGTATCATATCGCATGATAAATTCGAGCATTAGCCCGTCAAAACAAGAATCCGGCGCTAAGACACACCAGGTATTATTGGAGTTGAACGGTGAGTGGTGGTGTGTTTTTAGAGGCTGAAGGCTCCAACCATAGCCAATGGGCCCCCTGGAAGGTCAGACCGTGTGCCTGTCTTCGAAGGGGGATTACCGTAATCCGTCTATGCGTTTGTGCATCTGTGCGTATGTATGTATCAACGTGCAAGGTTGCACGTGCGAGTGTGTCCGTGTGTGCACAGCGCCGGGCTGCGAAAATTCAGCAAAGTTGGCACAGGAGCGGGCACAGCTGGTGCATCTGCCAGTTATCTCAGTCAGCCAACCCCCATGGCACCTGGGTCTGGTCCCGTGACCTCCTGCCAGCGAGCCTTCAACACTTCACACGGCCTCAAAGCGCACCTGGCCTGGTACGGGCGTTATGGAGACGTCACCGCCACTAAGTAGCAAATGGATGCTGCTGTTGTTGTGTTTGCATGTGCCAGTGTGTCGCAGCGTGTTGGTTTTTGCGTTTGTTTTGTACAACTGGCTCTCCGATTGTGCTTTCGGGCTGTTACCAATTGTTGTTTGGAATGATGCCTGATGGGAGCTTTATCAGGAACTGATCTAATTTTATATTTACAGAGCATCTTCACTCAAGGCGCTTGACACAGTTAAAACCAAACGGAGAAATAAACACGCGTTTAGAGTATTTGGCTGCTATAAATTTCCACCTTATAAGCCATTTTTTGAGCTATCATTTGTGATGACCAGGTCACTTCTCAAAAATAGCTTCATAGCTTCAGTGGGGCCTAACCTGGTAAAATAATATAATAACATAAACTATCAACCCAAACTGTTTCTGAACATTTAAAGCTTTCGTGACTGCAGGAATTCATCTTCTTGGTTCTTTCGGTAAAGTCACGTAGAAGGAAAATAATAAAATAATAAAAATAAAACATAATAAAATAATTCTCACGACGTTTCGGCCACAACGCAAGCAGCCGTCTTCAGGTGGAGAACAGGTCTGTCAAGTAGACAGACCTGTTCAAGTAGACAGACCTGTTCTCCACCTGAAGACGGCTGCTTGCGTTGTGGCCGAAACGTCGTGAGAATTATTTTAGTTATGTTTAGATTTTTATTATTGTATTAGTTTCCTTCTACGTGACTTTACCGAAAGAACCAAGAAGATGTTTCTGAACAAATGCGGACACATTCAAATTCACCTCCACGTGTTTGTAAAAAAAGATTATTACTTCACACCCAGCACGCTCAGACAGGGGGGGGGGACTAAACTTAGCTGGCAAAACATTCCGTACGTGAATTTCTCAAAAGGTGCATTTTAAATGCGAGTGCACTTTCAAGGTTAAAGCTGAGCAGGACCAAGAGCACAAACGGGGATGGATGAATGGATCATTCTCTCGCCAATGCTCATTGCACCACCGCTGGGTACCGATCAGAAGGAAAACACACACACATATATATATATACCGTGGCAAATGGTTTAACTAAAAGAAATCCTGGCTTGGTTTCATTTCCCTGTAGGTTTCTCAGCACTGTACACTGCCACCTCGGTTCGTTTGCAAGATTTCTTAAGACATTTTTGTTATATTTTAGTTGGAGCCCTGGACAGAGCACAAACAGCGGCGTGGTGGTGGGGGTGGGGTACAGAAACCCTGCTGACAAAAATCGTGCACGCTGTGCACCTGGATTTAGACGAATGGGGGGAAGTTTGCAAGATTTCTAATTATCATAAAGTTTTGTCTGGCTCGGGCACGGGGGGGGCAGAAGGCGGGGGTGGGGGCTGAATTCCAACCGCGCAGCGTTAACCTTCCTTGCGGTGGAAAATAAAAATCGGGGA